TTGTAGGAATTGGATAAGGTTTCAAATGTTATATAGAGTGAGAACAAATATTTGGGATTTGGAGGTACAAGAGGAGCTCACTTTCTTCGAAGTGTTGATCACCACCTATCTGATACAATTATGAGAAGCAACAAGATCCCTGGTGAACACACCCCTAAGATACAACTACATCAAAATATTCCTGAATTATTGAGTTGCATTCTCAATATACTCGCATAAAAACCGCAACAAAAGATCTTCCAGTCGATAAGGTAAAAATTAAACCTTCAATTATAAATGACGGATTAAAGCACTATAACGAATATCTATCTATGCTTTAAAAAAATATAGTAACACAAAATACTGGAAATCCTCTACAAATAGAAGGGCATACTTCTAATGTCCTTGTGATGCTCAACTTACAATAGTAAGAATTAGGTCATTGTGAGTTAAAATAAGAATTAAGCCACTAATGAATACATACTAACCTCATAAATGTTCCTATATAAGACCTAGATCCTCATAAATGTGCCTAGACTTGGATTGGAAATAAGCATAAAAGAAAGTGATTTGAGAGAGACACCTACAAGAGAGCAATTATACATCCAAAAAATGAAAAGAAAGAGTGATGGGCAAGAGCACGATGCTTAAAGACCAAAAGGTAAATGATGTGTCCTAAATATGCCACATGTTAGAGTTGCTATTAAATGGGACAATTAATGGGGGTCCTAAATATGCCATATGTTAGAGTTGCTATTAAATGAAGAGCACCTCGTACTTTTGAGTGTGAAATCCACATGAAAAGTGTTTTTTTAAGCATTGTGGTCTTACATGACCACAAAAATAGAATTGATCCCTTGATGAAATAATTTGTTTTGAAACAACAAACAGATGAAATAAAATAATAAATAATACAAAATAATGCAGCTCACTTAATGCTTTAAATACATCAAAAAGTGGAAAAAGATAAAAAGAGGGTTCGAAGATTGCTTAATATTGCAATTCCCTTTAAGCCCTGTTGAACAAACCAAATATTTGGTAGCAAATCTATTCACAGTCACCTCTCTTTTGTAACCCACTTATTAACAAAGTAAACTTTGATATGCGGCGATATCTACATCAAATACATGTATCACGTACTCTCAGCTATCATATTTGAATGGACAACATAGATAAGATTTAGTCATAGTGTCATATTTAACATTGTTTTATTTTTAAATTTTTATATCAATCATTTTGACATGAATTTGGGGCAGACGTACTCCTGAAAGGAGCATATCTAATAAAAATATAAAATAGCTTTGATAAAATAAAATGACTATAATATTTGGGATATTACGATTGAAGCTAGTAGGAAAAGTACACAGAGACCGTTCAATATCAAATCACGTAACTTCAACTGACGAAGCCAAACCCTTCAGATTTTAGGCATAAACCAAAGCGAAACGAAGCCTGGTATTGCCGCTTCGATCATATTCGGGCCGCTTCGGGTTGCTTTGGCTAGCACAAATAAAGCTATATAAAAATATATATATATTGCATTATTTGTATATATTTTATATATAAATATCTAACTTATTTATATTAAATTAAAAAAAAAAGTTTGAAGTCTTCCCACAAATCGGTCAACACAACAAATTGCTTCATTTTCTCACCAAACCAAAGAAGACTCTGAAACGTATTTGACAACATTGCCGTTTACTTTAATATAAGGAGATCACAATAGGATGTCAAATTGGTTGGTTGTAAGTATGTCACTAACTAGACTCAAAGTTCCAAAAATAAAATTGTGAAACTTCATGCCACAACCCCAGCCATCGAATTTTACATCTGATAGCTGTAAATAATTGTGACTTCCTCGTAACAAAGATAAATAGTTTTATAATATACAATCCCTATATTTTATATGGGAGTGGTACCAAAAGGTTTTCCACTAATAAAATACCACCAAAACGTCCATGTCCCTTAAAAAAAAAAAACGTCGGTTTTCCCTCATTTATTAACAACTCTCTATTTGTGGGGTTGTTAAACCGACCACACAGGGCTTTAAACTTTACAATTTTTTATTATTTTTTAACTTTTGAATTTCGAAAGTATCTTTGGTTTTCTTTTGAATGCTAAGACTCTAAACTTGGGAAGCTGGTCAAACATGGGCATTATTTTTTAAGGAGATGTAACAAAATTATTTTCATAGAAAAAGACCGGATGGTTAAGTTTCCCCATAAATATTGTTTATTATTCCTATAACATAACGTTAACCGGATATTTTCCAAATTGGTTGCAATTAAGAATGCCCGACAAACAAAACAAGAGTCACGCAATGCTATGTTTCTATTTCAAAATTTCATAATGCTTGTGTTGTGTGAAGAGAGAAAATAGAAGTTGAATCCTTATAACCTAAGGAAAAAGTTTATATAGAGCCGAGGCTCTAAGCAATCAAATTAGAGTGGATCTCAAAATTTTTTCTAAAATAGGTTGTTTTGATGCCCAGATATTCTCAAATTGATCATCTTGACATCAAGATATATGGATATGAGAAAAAAATGGATTTCAAGTTTTGAAACTAGTGAATATCGTTATTCATTTTTTGACCGTCTGGGGTCGTGGTGGTAGCATTCCTATGCCTAGTTACCACATCGTGGTATCCATTCCTACCCCACCCCCAATTAATACTTTCAAAATGTAACTCCCTAATATATTGAAAAACCCGGTAGGAGCCTCTCTTCCCTACTGAATTACCAAAAAAAAAAAAATTAAAGATTTTTAAGTTTTCATAGATTTACTCAATCTACTCTATTTTTTAAACTTTAAATTTTATAATTAAAAATAGAAATATATTTTAAGGTTATCACAAAGATTTTTAGTATTGAAACCACATTTCTCAACACTATTTGAAGGTCTGCATTACTTCGTTTGTTTAGAGCCTCGGCTCTATACAAACCGCACCCTACAAGTAATGAATGGGTCATTTCAAAGATGTTGATCCATTTTACTCAACCTTTGCAAATTAAGCTTTCTAAGTTTCATCATTCTTCACATCTTAATGGGTCATTTGCAAGTTGTTCATCCATTGTAGTCAACCTTTGCAAATTGAGCTTTCTAAGTTTCATTATTCTTCACATCTTTCATCAACTTTTATTGACTTTGATTTCTTTTATTTTCTGGGATTGTATGTAATGAGACCATTTACCTTTGATACAAAGTGGTTACAGTGACTTACAACCATTTGATGTGAAAATTGATAGCTTGGGTGTGACAAAAGGTTCGAAAAAATTTATTTTGAAGTTTGAGCTTGGTCAATGGAATAAATGTAACTACCAAATTTTACATCCAATGGTCAAGATTAATTGTGACTACCTTATACCAAATGTAAACGGTCTAATTATATATTTTCCTTATTTTATATGGGCTTGTTTGGAGGGTAATTAACTTTATATGGAATAGAGTTATATTTGAAATTAATGTACTCCGGATAATATTATTATGTTAGCCATTTGTATAAGGTTGGGGCTCTAAACAATCAAAGCAATGCGCATATTCAAATAGTGTCAAGAGATGTTATTTCAAGCTGCACTATTTCCAATACTTGAAGTCTTTTTTTTATGCCTATGTATCTCATAGTTGAGACGATCGGATTTTTGGATATTGAAACAATATTTTCTAATGAATTTTTGAGGCACGTCTTAGTTTGATTATTTAGGATCTCAATCTTATATAACCTTTTTGCCATAAAACAAAATATTTTATTTCATAAAAAATAAGGAAAAGTTTTTTCCTTATTTTTTAAAATGAATTTTATTTTTTAATGAAAGATAAAAATGAGGGGAGTAAGTTATAGGAAAGCTTTATGTAGGTTACTAAGTGTAGGGAATTTATGTACACCACTCTCTCCTAGCCGTTCGATCTGAATGGTTGATTGTGATAGCTTCAGCCATTATGGCACAAGTGAGCAGACCATACGATCTAGATTTGAGACTCATAGTATTTTATTTTTTAGTTTTTTTTACAAATCAAATGTACATTAAATTTGGTGTGTAGAATATTTCTAAAATAAAGACTAAATTACCCCCAAAATTTTTAAGGCCATATTTGGTCATTTTATTTAATCATGAATTTGGTTTTGTATTTGTGTAGGTGTGAGCTTAAAAGAGTATTGGATGTCCGAAATTTGTTATCAATATCTTTTTTTTTTTATAAAAAATCAAAAATAAAATAGTGTTTAGGTGTGACCATGTAATTGGAGCCCCCTTAGTCTCCATCATATTGGACGGCTGGGAGAGGGTGACGTTCCTTGTATCTACTGGTGTATGGAACACTTTCATATAAGGTATGTATTATGAAAACAATTTATATAATATTGAAATCTTAAAATGTAGAATTAAATATGCACTTCAAAAATCCATCATAAAAAGTTGCGTAGACGTTGGAAAACCTTTTAATTGATCATTTCGATATTGAGATGTATGCACATGGAAAGAAAAGAAGATTTCGAGTTTGCGAAATAGTGTATTTTGCAACACAATAGTTGGACCATCAATTTTCATGATTTTCATGTGTTTATAGATCTACTTGATTTGAACAACTTTTAAAGTTCAAAATTTTATAATTAGACATGAAAATATATTCTCATGCCATCATAATAATTTTCATATTAAAATTACATTTATGATAAAATTTAAAGGTACACTTTAATTGGATTATTTAAAGTTGCAACCTTATGCAAACCGCATCTTTGACACAAGATATTTAAAAAGTACTTTCAGCCATTAGATGACGAATGAGATGGCTTAGGGTTTATATTGAAGTTCAACAAATATTTTTTGAACTTTAGATTTCGTCGAAGACATTCTCACGATCACCCTATTTAAAATCTATAAAGACAACATTGATTTAAATGATCTTGGAAACTAAACACTTCTGACCGCTGGATATCACATCTGACGGTCAAAGATGAAGATGATCATCCGTTTTGAATTTCAACTGTTTTGTTGTACAGTGGCAAGTGCATAGTGCACGTCGGTTGTCTGAACTGAGACGCTTTGTATCCCACGCTAAGAAGGAGGGGGTTGCTGAAGACCTCACCAAACCCTAATTTTGAAATTGTTTTCCTTTTATAAACCCAGCATTTCTTCATTTACTTCAAACCCTGGAATTGTAATCTTTTGGTTAAATCAATATCGCTTCAGTTGAAAATTGAGAAGCATTGAGCTTCTCTGCGACTTTCAATGGACCGGGGCATTTCCAGAAGCGACGTATCACCATGGAAATGCTTGATAGCTTTAGGCTTTCTTTATGGAGCCATGTCCGCCTTGGCTTACTGGGTCCTTCACATGAAGCATGTGAAGCCATTGACAGTTGATGCGCCAGTTGATTGTTTCTCTGAAACCCGAGCGCTTAATCATGTGAGGCAGCTTGCTCAAGTGATCGGAGGTCGCCAGGTAATGGAATTGTTCATTTTTCATGGATTCCGTTATTTATCTCTGCATCTTTTTGTTTTACTTTTGATTCATTCGTTTTTTTTTTGGGTAATTCAGTGGGGAAGACAGGCCCCTACCCGTTTTTTCAAGTAGATTAGGAGTTAGCTTTTTGAAGGTGTTAGTGGGGTGGTGTTAATGGTGGGAATCGAAATCACAACGTGGTGACTAGGGTGTGGGGTGCTACCTTGTAGTTTTGAATTATTCATTTATGCATTTGTTGGTTTGATATTAATATTCATTTTTGGATTTGAATTTTGTAACTAGTTTCTTTTTTTTGGCAATTTTGGAAGAATATTTCATGTAATTTATCACTTCAAAGTTCATGATTTTGGTGTAGTTTTAAATTATCTATTATGGAATGAGTTATTTTGAGTTTTGCAATTTTGATGAAGAATTTGTCTTGGAAGTTTTGACCACTTTGAGGAATGTGCAGTTATTTTTTGCACTATATTTTTCTTCTTTTCTATTTGGGTCAGGAAGGGAGTCCTGGATTGCATGAGGCTGCTCGTTACATAAAGGCACAGATGGAGATGCTTCAAAATCAAGCTGGCCCTGATTTTAGGTTTGTTGAGCTAAGCTTTACTTTAAGCGGGCCTCCCAGATGTAGAGTTGTGAAATTCCATGTCTTTTGGCTGATGGAAACAATGCAGACTTTTGTGGATAATGCTGATTATTGCTTCATGTTCATTTAACTACAAAACATATTCTTAAGTTTTGTTTGGAGATCAGTGTCTGCAAGTGTCTGAAACTGAACCACGGATCATTGGCCAATTTTGGATCAAGTTCCCATTGTTTTTTTTATCATCATCAATATATAATATTACGAATATTATCATCATTACTAATTATCATAATCACTTTTTATTACTGTCTTTATTGTCATTATTTGATGTTTGCGGTCAATACTTGCTTTAGATCAAATGTTGGCTCTGCTTCCTTTGAATTTGAATTTGTTTTGTTCAAAGCTCAATTGAAATCCAAAAGGGACCGGATATAATGTTCTCAACGAGTATATTTTCGGGTTCCCTGACAGACCATCCTCTGTCTGTACCTTCAAGGGGTGCTTGAGGTCTGCTGATGTTCCTTGATGGGACTTAGCAGCAGAAAAATGGATGACAATAGGTGACCATTATTTTTTTTTTGAGAGAAGGTTAACATTGTATTACTGATGAGTGATGTTTACATGGATGTGAGAGTCCGAACTCATCCGCTAGGGGTGACTTGGTAAAAAAAAAAATTGTTAGTTTATCATGTACAAAAAAGGGGCTTATAGAGACCGTCCGATTACAAAGATTTACATGAAGCTTTCAAAAATTACAGCAGGGCTGAAATTTGCTGAAACAACAAGGTGTTTATGTTATGTGCCAATGGTCCTGAGCAAAAAGGGAGTCGGACCCAGTTTGATCTTCTACTTGGATTCTAGCTCCCTCTTTCGCCAAGAGATCTGCGAACTCGTTGGACGTCCGCCATATATACTTCCAAGAGACGTCCATAGCCCTTCAAATGTGATCAATTTCGTCAAAAATGGATGTTACGTGCCATGGTGGAGGAGTCATCCTACTTGCCCAGGAAAGAACATTTTGTGAATCTCCTTCAACTATCAAGTGTGAGCCCCAAGAGTGGTTGAAACTTTTCAGGCCTTGTAGGATGGCCAAGGCTTCTGCGTGATGGGAATCCTTGGGACCGAGATGCTCAGAAAAAGTTAGGAGGATGTTGCATTGATGGTCTCTAAAGACCTCCCCAAGCCCCTGCTGGGCCAGGATTCCCAAGGGAACAACCATCAAAATTCAGCTTGATACTGCTTTCTGATGGTGGTTGCCAGTTGTTGGGTCTTGACGCCAGTCTCGGTTGGTGATGGAGAATATTTTCCCATTGACAGAGGGAAAAGCTCCCTGGTATGCCCGAGAAGACCTTGTGATTAGAGGTCCAGAAAGTGACCATAGAGATTGCCATGTGTAGGAGTGCTAAGGTATGGAGTTTTGAACCTTGAAGGATTCTAGTATTTCTTTCCACCCAGATGGTCCATATGGTTGCGGCTCTGGTAGCCTTCCATAAGATTCTTCTAGCCTTCGGCCAATGTGAATCTAGATCGTAAGAGATCAAAGCCTTGATAGTAAGGGGGGTGACCAATTTGATGCTAATGAGTTGCAACACTTGGCTCCAAAGTTCATAGGTAAAGTCGCAGAGAATGAATAAATGGGGATTTGATTCCTCCTCGCACAGGCGCAAAGCACATCTATTGGGGATCGGTAACCCTCTCTTTTGGAGGTGGTCCACTGTGAGAGCTCTTTGGGATCAGGAGAGCCAGTTGAAAGTTTGAACCTTAGGTGGGCCGATGGTTGACCAAACTTTTGATTGTACCGAAGTGGGATTCCCCGGAAGAGTGGGGGGGCTGAGTTAGGCTTTTATAGAAGGAGACTACCGAGAAGATACCAGAGGGAGCTATAGTCCAGACTATAGCATCTCTTCCTCGAGTAGGAATGAAGAGAGAGTGTAGGGCTGTCGTAAGCAACTGACAGTGATTGGTTTCCTCTTTTGTTAGGTTCCTTCGGAAGGATGGGTTCCAAACTCTTCGGTCTCTTGAGATAACCATTTCCTTAGCAAATTCTTTGTTTAAAGCAAGTGTGTAGAGGGTAGGGAACACTTCTCGCAGAGGAGAGGGTCCTAGCCATAAATTTGAGCAGAATCTCACTCTAGAACCTTCTCTAGGGTGAAATCTTATGAATCTTTTGAACTTAGATGGAGTCGACGAAAATGATTTCTATGCTCCTAAGGCGTTATGCAATTGACTCCTTTTGGCACCCAAGCTCCTTCGGGTGTTCTATACTTATTCCATAAGACTTGAGCCCAAAGAGAGTCAGGCTAGGTGGCTAGACGCCACCACCATTTCCCTAGGAGTGCCAGGTTGTGTTTTCGAAGTACCCGGATTCGTAAACCTCCCTGATGTTTAGGTAGACAAATGCTGTCCCAAGCTACAAGATGAAATTTTGTCTTTTCAGCTTGCTCCGACCATAGGAAATTCCTCATGAGTTGTTCCAAGCGGTTTGCCACCTAGGCTGGAATGTAGAAGAGAGACATGACGTAAACTGGGGAGGTTGATAGGGTGGCTTTTATCAGGGTCATTCTCCTTGCCATTGAGAGGAATCTACTCTTCCACCTTGCCATTGAGAGGAATCTACCCTTCCACTCTGCCAGACGTCTATCCACCTTATCTAGGACTTGAGACTATTGTCTCTTCTTGGGTTTCCCCAGTCCCAGTGGAAGGCTTAGATAGGTAGTAGGGAGATCCTCCACTTTACATTTCCAATAGGTGACTGTTATTGTCCCAGGAAAATGTCAGACAGTGGATTACCTCTCTATGCACCCCAAAGAATACTCATAGTCATAAGGGATTTTGAATGTTTCACATCCCAAAATCAAAATATTTTTTTAAATATCCAATTTATTGTTTAATTAAATGTAAAATTTGAATTGTTAATCCATTAAAAAAAATATGACATTTTTTGGTGCAGCTCTCTCTAGAATTAATATTAAGTTTGCATTTTTGAACCTTGGTGTGCTTCATGGTCTCTTGAAATTTTTTTTATCTGGATTATAGGCAGGCTTTTCTAGGATTTAATGGGAATTAGGCCTCAATTTGTGGTTAGTGTGACAGTTCAGATTTATTGCATTGCAATGAATAATGGAGAATTGAGAAAGACCAATTTTTCTCGGGAAATCTGGTTTATCAATAGTCTCTTGTCCTCTACATAATATGTGTGGCTTGCTTGTGCTACAATACATATGGACTGTGCATTGCTTTGGTTGTAGTTGATGGTTCATTTTATTTGTATCTCTTCCATTCTTTACTTACTTGACAATACTAATCAACAAAGATGTACACAAAGGGTTTGGAATATGAGAAAATGTTCATTATGTTTGAGCTTCTCTTTGAACTTGGTTGAAGGAATTCTTCACTGGACAACTGAGATGTATGATTTCCTACAAAAGATGAACCATGTTTCAATGGATGATAGCATCATGTTGAACTGCACAAATTGTCAAACAAATCTTAACTAGCTACTATGCATGAAGTTGTGGAAGAACAAGCCGAGCCAATCAAAAGAGCTTTGGTGTATGCAATGGTCGAATAGTAAAACTAGCAGGACCATTTTCCGAATCATCATCATCATCATCCAACCCTTATCCAATTATTTGGGTTGGCTATATGAAATGACGTGGCAAATTTTTACAATGGCTGCCTACCTTACACAACCCTCCTTTACATGGTTTGGGAGGGGTCAAGGGAAAGTTTAAGGTCCTCTCCCTTATTAGATCAAATACAAACATGTGACTTAAGAAGTTCAAAGTTCACTGAGAACACAAAGAAGAAACACTTATTGGAGGTACAAAGGCTGCACCGATAATTGATTGCACCTCACTTTCAGAAAAATTTAGAAGGCACAGAATATCTAGAGCGGTATAGGCCAGATCTAGTAGACTTTGAGGGACATTCTCCGAATAAGAAGAAATTTCCCTAGAGAACCATTGCTTCCGACATCACTTTTAACAATGAATTTTACTTGGTAATAACTTACAACCCTGTCTGTCATGGGGTTCTCCTAAGATAGTTTATACATCAATGCAATTCTATTCTTTTGGTAACATAGTTGATTCATTGCTTACTGAATTTCTTGAGGTGTAAATAGGACGTACATCCCTTTGCCAATGTGAGGTTCCTCAGAATTCAGGATCCAAGACATGGAAAGTAGGTTGTTGGCTGCCAAATTTTCATGCGCGGGGTCTGGCATCAATGTTTCCCTTAATCCCAGTGTATTTGTACTCTAGCTTATGTACTCCTCTGAAATATTTAGATCATGACAAGCACCGGCCTTCATTTTGTCCCCTGAATGTACCATGTAGCTTTTGGGTTCTTGAGTTTTGAATGGCTGGGTAATCTGCAACGTTCTTGGTTGTTTTTCATGATTTGCATCTCAAAGGTTCTAGTGAAGGTCTCTAAAAATTTATTTGGTTTAATTATGTCTTGTAGTGTTTCAATATGAACAATCTAAGTCAATAATAATAGTGAACACTTATGAAAGCAGGATTGGTTTGTACTTCTAACTGTGTTTGTACTTCTAACTGTGTTTGTACTTCTAACTTTTATCAATGGAGTCTATGCAATATGACACTCCAAGGCCATCCTCTAAATTTTGTTGTTGATTCTCTACACACACATATACACACTTGATTACTGAACTTCTGTTGAAAGTTTATCCTGAGAACTAAGTTATGTTTCACATGCAAATATTAGCCATATTAAAGGTGCCTTCTTAGCTTGACCTGTAGAACTTTGCTTTGCTATATCATCTGAGGTCATCGTTTCTTCTATGCATGGTTTTAATTGATATGTATATACTATATCATCTATGGTCATCTTTTCTTCTGTGCATGGTTTTAATTGATTTGTTCTTACATGTTAGTCAGTGCCATGAAGACCATACAACTTCTCTGTGATCACCAACTAAACATCCTGTTGTTATCCCAAATTACATTTTGTTGTTATCCTAAATTTGTTAGTTTCATTGCATGCATGTAAATTGTTCCTTTTGGAATGTTAATTAGAGTTTATTATTCATATTAACCAATACCCTTTCATTGCTTTTGCAGAGTCGAGGTTGATGAAACATTTGTGAATGGCTCATTCAACATGGAAATATTGGGTCGCAGTATATCTCTTGGATACCGTAATCATACTAATCTTCTCCTCAGGTATATTGAGTTGTCTAATTTATTTAATTTCCTCAATCATGTTCCGAAACATTGGATTTCTTAATAGATGGTTTTAAATGCGTTAATTATGTCCTTTAATCTTGCTTTGCCTTCTTTCTATCATTTCCCAGTTGATGAGTGAATGTCTTCCATTTTGATGCTATAACCTAATGGTTCTAATTTACTAGGGTCTAGGGTTCTAATAAATGTTATGGTAGGCACTGAACTTTAAAGACACTAAGATGCATCTCATTAACTTTGTTAAGGGTGAATATCAACTTACCATAATTATAGTGGAAATGATTGGATCTCTGTGGAATTGTGGTAAGGGTTACTCCTTGCTGTTTCGGGATGATAAAAACATATAGCATGTCAAAGAGTGAACCTTTATCACTTGTCAGAAGAGATTGGAATGTACTATTATGGACAGAGAATGGTATCGATATCATTAGAAGAATGAGAAGGGTGAAAATTGTTTCTGGATATAACACCGAGGATGACATAATAGAATGAAGAGATTAGAGAGAACCAAGAACCTCATTTTCATGGGGTCAAGAAGAGAGGACTATTTGGGACAAGAAGAAAGGACCATAGGGCCAACATTTTTTTTTCTTGTTATGCCAAGGGATTTGATAAGTACATAAGCCTATGCCTTTTAATAATATGAGGCTTTATTGATACCATGGCTGAAAACTTGTGTAAGGCCTTTGATCTTATTATTTGAAACCCATTGTGATTTGAGTCCTTGAGTCTTTTATTCTTCTTAGCCCCTTTTTGGCGCAAGGAGAATTTTGATTCCTCATAGTGTGGTCACCAGCTTGTTGGAAAAATCCTGTTAAAAATGAGACTACACACAAGTTTGGGCATGACACCCTCACATCTCCCACAGTCTAGCATCTTTTTGGTTCACCAAGAGCATTGAACTAGGAGTCTTGTTGACTAACTCCGTGAATCTGGTCATGCTAGCAATAAATCGACCTTCCTCGTTTTTCATTGGAGAACTATTCACAGCAGAAGTCGTGCACAATGCACTGAGGGCTATGCATATTGTGTCAAAACTCAACCAATACTTCACTATTGTGGGCGTCTAGGGAAATCTGCTAGCAGAGAGTGTACGCCAACTGATACAAAAAACTCGCCCATCTAGTTAAAACTATGCCCCTTGGTTTTTATTTTTGGACAGTTGGCCTATACTCCCCTCTTTGGTCCCCCCTTGTAAAGATTTGGTAATGTGGAAGGTCTTTATGGTTGATTCCTGGATAAGAAGAGGTCACTCTTCCCACCATTCTTATTTCCTTGATAAGAAGAGTCACTGTCCACTCCATTCTTATAGTGTTTGAAAGGATCTTCTTCTGTTGCTCTCCCTTAGATCTCATACATTCCATAATGTTATCTTTACCATCATGTCGGAAGTCAATCTCGAATCATTTCACCTTGAATTTCTGACTTTCTTTTTTTCTTAGATGCACAATGTGAGTTATAGTTGTTGGAAACGCCTGTGATTCCGAATCATTTCAGGAATTGGAATCGCGGAATTGCATGTATCATATGTTTCCTAATATTAGAATTGTTGTCTGTATGATTTAGAACTATGAATCTTGATTCGTACTATATTGGAATCGCGATCCTATAAAATAGGAATCATGTTTCCTATTTGGAAGAGTCAATGTCACTTCATGTTGGAATTGAGTTTCATACCTATATGGAATCGCACTTGACCCCTCATAGTTCAGTGCATTTTGGAATCGCGATCCGATGAGATTGGAATCGTGATTCCTAAAAAGATAGAATCGTGATTCTTAAAATTCTGGAATCATTGTCCCCATCAACTTGGAATCGAGATTCTGACCATTCAGGAATTGAGATTCTCCCCATACTGGAATTGCATGCCAATCCCCTCCGGTATATGAGAGAAGTATTCAGAAAATATTTAAATTTTATTATTATTACAAGATTAAATTTTGGTCTGTATATAGTTAGTCAAATTACCAATGTCAACCTTGATGATATCTTTGTCAACAATCCCATACAATGGACTTGGTCTGATAACAACCCTTCGCCAACGAGGCCTGGAGCTGGTCTATGGCATACAACTAGTGAGAACAAGGGCAAGCTCCGACTATCTCCTTTCTTTGAAATATAAAATAAGTAGATGACATAGAAATTCTTCTTTGTTAAATGTAGTTTTAACTTTTGAAAATTTGGAATCAACGTTTCACACAAGTAGAATCGCATTGTTGTGTAGCTAAGAATCGCGATGTTTGCTATATAAAATATTGATTCCGAACAACATGGATTCGCAATTTCTAAAAATTTGGAATCAACGTTTCGCACAAGCAGAATCACATTGTTGTGTAGCTAAGAATCACAAAGTCTGCGATATGTAATCTTGATTCCAGGCTTCCAAGAACCAAGATTCATAAACCAGATTGAATCACGTTTCGAGAAACTTGAAAACATGACTCCTTTCAGAATCGAGTTTCATCCTGGGAAACCCAGAATCGAGATTCCGAAAGGGAATCGGTACCCAAGTGGGCGAATCGGGTAATTATAATGTGGGTATTAGGTATGAATGTTTGGCCATTATTTTTCATCCTAGGTAATTCTTATTCGCACTGAGTTGTCAGGGGCTAACAAGGATGTCTTATCTTGTTTGATTGCACTGTTATCTTATGGTAAGTCCTATTCAAATCCCTATACTTGGGGATTTATATTGTTAATACTCAGAGTTTGATGTGTATATTCTGGTCATTTATTGGTTTAAAAGTTGCTTCTTTGATACTTGCACAACTCTATCTGATTGCTCATTATATTTGGTTTGATTTATTTGCTGTTGACGGTAGATGATTTGTTTTATTTTGGGCGTTTTAAGAAAACATGCCCATATGTTTTTCTTTTAAGACCCTCTCAGTTTTTTTCTTTTACTTTTAAGAAAATGACTTATTTTCCCGCTTCTTTCCTATCTAACCTCTAACCTCTTTCCTTTTTTGTTTTTTTGTTTTTTTTTGGCTGCAAAATACTCAGAAAATGGGAATCAATGGTGAGAGTCAAGGGTCCTCTCTAAGCCTTGACACTTGCATCTTATTCACCACTTCTTCTACAACTCAAATAAAGGAAATGGCCATAAAAAAATCAGAAGAAAATAAGGAAAAAAGCTTAAATTTACAATATCGTGGAACTCTATTACCCCCTTCTCCTCTACAACTCAAAAGGAAAAACCCGTCAATTTGTTTTTTTTAAATTGTGAAACCCCAATTTACAACTCCCAAAACTCTCTCACCCCCTCCTTGCAACTCTAAGAGAAAAAGGACCAACCAAAATAGAACAAAAGAAAGCAAGTTGTAGATTCCTGGAGTTTTCACTTCCTGTTCTCATTTGAAGAAGGCAACCCTTCAATAATCAGAAGAAAAGTGAAGAAAAAACCAAAGAATTAAATAAACTTGTGAATCTCTCACCCCCCACCTCTAGAACTTCAGAAAACCGCTGAAAAATCATAATAAAAGAAAATCCCAATTCACAAAACGCGGATTCTTTCAAGCCATAAGCTGAATGAATCTCTTAAATCACTTGGAAGCTTCCTTTTAGAAGAATCATTAACAGATTCGTCCATCTTTCTCCTTGCCTCTCTTCTATGATCCATTTTAGACAATGCCAGCTGTCAAATCTACATATAATCAACATCCGCTGTTTAAGCTACCTCCATTTTTGCTAAACCTCTGGATTGGACTCTCTCTATAGTTCCTATTGTCTCTCTCTCGCTTTATAATTCCTATTATCTCTCTCTAATTCACCAGCAAAATATTTACAAAATTAGATTTTTCCCTAGAAAAACTAGGCTCATTTCTCTCTCTGTCTCTAGCCGAAAGCTTGTTCAAATGTAATTCATGGTTTGGAGTTTAACAGAGGTGGAAGGGAAGAGGGGAGTGAGCTCAAACGACTTAATGCTCAACAGCGAAAAAAAGGTGGTTGGAGAGAGAATGGGAAATAATAGGAATTGGTAATTTTGTCCCTCTAGCTAACCCATGTGTTGGTAAGAAGACTAAAGTAAAAGATAGGTACTTGTGAAGACCAGCATCTTTAAAAAGACACTCATGGAAGCCTTATTATGGAAGTCTTATTCCTTAGCAAGCCCTTTATTTTATCGATAAAGTGTAGATAATCTGTTAAAAATATAAATCAGAAATATGTGTTAATGCAACAATACTATCCATTGTTGACTAGAAGTCATTGTTCTGATATGTATGATGTGGGCTGTATGGATCTGATGCAGGAGAACTTGAAGAAACATAGAAAATCAACAAGAAAGCACTTTGACACAAGCAATTTTGGAGAAACCCAAAGGTTTTCTCCCTCCTATGGCTCAAGCTTTTGACTCTTTTTACAAGACAAAGTCATTCTTTTCTTAAAGAGGAATACGTGAATGTCTCTCTAGCCCATCCATGCCCTTACTTATAATGGAAAATTATTGTTTTGGATAATATTTGTCCATACAATTAACTTTTGACAAAAAATGTCCTAACTTAAGTATAACTTGAAATTAAATTTCTTAACTTCAATTAAAATATCGAAAAAATCCCTAACTGGTCCAGCAATGAAATAAATAAAAAAACATATGAAATAGGCTTAAAAACTAAAAAAAACATTCAAATAATTCCTTGCTCTTCTTGAAGGCCCTCTTAGGGTTTTCATCCTCCAAATATCAGCGAAAATTAGGAAGAATCTGTCGCTCCCAAAGAAGATACTCTTGGGCACTTGTTGTTCTTTGATCACCATCATTATTCTTCCCGGGTTGAGAATATGCCCTTGTCATAGAATACATAAATGGATCAATTCATTCAACAAGATCCGTTCGGATCGGACCGGGATGAATGTGATTGGTCTGACCCTTTGCTTGGATGGTTGACTTTTGCCTTTAACAGATTCCCCATGCCTCGTTTCGTGAGCAACTATGCTTGAGAATGAATGAATTGTGATATAGCGTCAACGTTGAATAAGCCACT